CAGTGTACAGGGAGCTTTACTCTGTATCTAACCCTGTGCTGTCCCTGGGAGTGTTTGATAGGGATAGTGTAAAGGGAGCTTTACTCTGTATCTAACCCTGTGCTGTCCCTGTCCTTGGAGTGTTTGATGCAGTAAAGTGTAGAGAGAGCTTTACTGTGTAACTAACCCTGTACTGCTCCTGCCAATGAGCCTTTTCCCTTTCAGGTCTGACAATGGGAGCAGAATCTGTTAACTCAAAGCAAACCAAAGGCTGATGTTGGCCTGGTATAGAATCCTGGGATATACCAGCTCTGGGTCCCGGACTCCAGGAAGGAGAGACTTTCCTCGAGGGAGACAGATTCGCCAGAATGATCCGGGGAGAAAGGGGTTAAATGATGAGGACCAGTAAGATAGGATAATTTTATTCCTTCCTGGGAGGTGAGTGTCACTGCTCAGCCAGCATTTCTTGCCTATCCCTAGCTGCCCTCGAGAAGGTGGGGCTGAACTGCCTTCTTGAACCGCTGTAGTCCATGTGCTATACATAGACCCACAATGCCATTAGGGAGGGAATTCCAGAATTTTGACCCAGTGACAGTGAAGGAACGGCGATATATTTCCACATCAGGATGGTGAGTGGCTTGGAGGGGAACTTACAGGGGCTGGTGTTCCCATGTGTCTACTGCCCTTGTCCTTCTAGATGGAAGTGGTCATGGGTTTGGAAGGTACTGTCTGAGGATCTTTGGTGAATTTCTGCAGGGCATCTTGTGAATGGTACACACTGCTGCTACTGAGCATCGGTGGTGGAGGGAGGGGATGTTTGTGGATGTGGTGCCAATCAAGCGGCTGCTTTGTCCTGGATGGTGTCAAACTTCTTGAGTGTTGTTGGAGCTGCACTCATCCAGGCAAGTGGGGAGTATTCCATCACACTCCTGACTTGTGCCTTGTAGATGGTGGACAGGCTTTGAGGAGTCAGGAGATGAGTTACTCACCGCAGTATTCCTTGACTCTGACCTGCTTTTGTAGCTGCTGTGTTTACATGGCTGGTCTAGTTGAGTTTCTGGTCAATGGTAACCCTCAGGATGTTGATAGTGTAGATTTCAGTAATGGCAACATATGAAGCAGTGGTGGTCAGACTGTCTCTTACTGGTGATGGTCATAGCCTGGCATTTGTGTGGCGCACATGTTACTTGCCACTTGTCAGCCTAAGCCTGGATATTGTCCAGATCTTGTTTCATTTGAACCATGGACTGCTTCAGTATTGGAGGAGTTGTGAATGGTGTTAATGGTGCAGTCACTGGCAAACATCCCCATTTTAATAAGGATTAGGCTTGTATTTTCTTGAGTAAAGTAGTTTAAGAGGTGACTTGCTCAAGGTATTTTAAGGAACGATTTAAAAGGGTTGATAGTGCGAATTTATTTCCTGTGATATTTGTTGGGGGGAGGGATCCATAACCTCAAAATCAGAGCCAGGTCTTTCTGGGAGTGATGTTGGGATGCACTTATCCACACAGATGGTCGTGGAAATCTGGAATTGCAGGGCTCAGCGGGGAGAAAATAACTGTTTCTTGAAATCATCACGAGTCTCACCTCACGACATTCCTCATCAGTAAAAAGAAGGCATCCTTTGCAGATGTGCAGAAATTTTTACCATATATGGCAATCTGAAAGAGGAAAAGATTTCATACTTTGCATTTATATAGTGTCTTTCACAACCCCAGAGAGTGAACATTCAACACATTAATAGCTGACAGTACAAAGTGATACTAAAATTCCCAAGCAGTGAGAACGGGCAGAGACTCACCATTATATAAGCATTTCTGTTGAGAAATTTGATGAATTTTTCCAGACACCAAAAGCAACATTTCAGACAGCAGAAAAGGAACTTGGTAAATTTGTTCTGCGCACCTGAGGGTAAAGCAACAAGCTCTGATTTAATCCATAATCACACAACAACACAGGAATGTCCAGGCTGCACGAGGCCAATCAGCCTCTCATACTTGTGTCAGTTCCTTGAAAGATCTCCAAATTAATCTCACATTGTTGCACTTTCCCCAAATCCCGTAGCTGTTTTCATGTCAAGTATTTATCCAATTCTCTTGTGAAAGTTAGGATTAAATCAGATTTTACAGGCAGCACGTTCCAGATCCCAACAACTCACTGTGTAATAACAATCCACCTCAACTTCCTCCTCTCTGAGGCTTTTCCCGATTCCCCTCAATCTGTCTCTCTCTGCTCACTGAGCCTCCTGACCCTGGAAACACTGCCTCCTGGTTTACTCGACAAAAAGTTTGCACATCCTCCCGGTGACGATGTACAGTAATAGTTTAAACCAATCACAAGAGAATACAACACGCCCACCCCCAAACTAGGCATGTCACAACGCCACCCACTGGACAAAGGCCATAATTACAATGTGATGCGTTTACATAGGCAAGCTCCATTATAAATGCTGACAAAGAAACTTATGATTAAGATACTAAACCTAAGGACCGAATAAATGTGAAATCCAGACTGAACTCGACCTGTTAACTCTAAATATCAAACCTATGTAAAACTAGCTCTGCCCTGCCTTTAACCACACTCCACTTGCAGATGACACTGAGTCTTGGCTTGAGGGAAAACTGAGTAATATTACAGTTATGCCCCTATTGAAGGTGTATTTGGTAAGTGTGGAATCACATGGGATTTACAGCATGGATATTTCACCTGAGCCAGTGCTTCTCATTCAACTCCATCTACATCTTACTCCACCATCACATCCTCTTCTCCCACACGCCATTCTCCTGCTGTTAGTCTCAATGACTCTCTGCGATACAGGTGCCCCCCCCACGCTCTCTGCGGCACAGGCGCCCCCATGCTCTCTGAGGTAAAGGCGCCCCCACGCTGTCTGAGGTAAAGGCACACCCACGCTCTCTGAGGTAAAGGCACACCCACGCTCTCTGAGGTAAAGGCGCCCCCACGCTCTCTGAGGTAAAGGCGCCCCCACGCTCTCTGAGGTACAGGCGTCCCCACAATCTGTACTGGATTCCCCGCCTGCCCATTGGCTGATGGTGAAGCCACGCTGATGCTTCTAGCCTCGTACCCCAGACAGCCAGGTTAATGTTGTGCACCCTGGTAGGTAGTGGAATTTCAATTCAATTAATAAATCTGGAACTGAAAATGATTCTCTATTGTGGCGACCATGGGACGGTTTGTTACAAACCCCTCTGGTTCTCTAATGTCCTCTAGGGAAAGAAATCTGGTGCTATTACCCAGTCTGGCATACACATGTGACTCCAGACCCACAGCAATGTGGCTGACTCTTGCCTGCCCTGTGAAATGGCCCTGAGTGAGCCACTCAGTTCAAGGGTAATTAGGAACGGACAAAAAATGTCAGGGACACCCAAATTCCTTAAAAGAAGTAAAACAAAATGTCAGAAGTAGCTGCAATTGAGAGCTACTCAGGAACTCACCTTTCAGTTTATTATCCAGGTATTCCAGAATAATCCGGATGAGTTGGGTGATGGCTAGTATTAAGGATCCGAATGCTAATGAGCCCGTGTGGTACCTGATACAAGGGAACAGATTCAGAATAATTGTTACACATCAAAAAGCACAACAACAAACTCCAATATCCTCCTCCTCCTCACTGCTTCCTCTCAGAGTCTCCTGAGCTTGCAGACTTTCGAAACCAAGGTATATATCACTTAGTGCAAAAACAGAGAATGCTGGAGAAACTCAGCAGATCTGGCAGCATCTGTGGAGAGAGAAACAGAGTTAACCTTTTCAGCCCAGAGACCCTTCATGAGAACTGCTGCAGAACATGTCACCTCATTTACCTTTTTCTTTTTACTCTTTTCAGCCTTGGAGCTCCTCACCTTTGTTCAGAGACTCAGTGCTAGGCCTCCAGGCCTGTCCCTCATCCTTAGCCTTGCCTCTATAGCCTGGCTTCAATCCTTCACTCTGCTTTCACACTCTAATAAATATTGAAGATGTGGCCAAGATGCTGAGGTCAAGGGTCAGGAGCCTGTATGGAGGGACAGGCAAAGGAAAGTTCAACACCAGGAGAGGAGCTCCCTCTTTTTCCATTTTGACCCAAAGAACTCAACTTTTGTATAAACCTCCATCTTCATGGAAGGGGTCTAAAACTACCCTTGCCTCACCCCTCAATGGGGTTCCTTGAAACAGCCGTGTGTCCCATCCTGTGAAGTCATAGTGATCTTGCCATTATCGTTAGGGTTTTCCTGCCTTGGATCAGGAAGCTCACTCCTAACTGGCTGAGTTTGTGGGAGGTAGACCCAACAGCATTCTGGGCATCCTGACAGCTCCCACCACCATCTCCAGTTTCTCAGGGTAGTGTCCTACACCGAACCAACTTCAGCTGCTTCATCAGTGACCTTCCCAGGGAAGTTCGCTGATGATTGCACATGTTCAGCACCATTCACAACTCCTAAGGTACTGAAGCAGACGTGTTCCAACACAAAAAGATCTGGATAATATCCTGGCTTTGGCTGACAAGTAGCAAGTAACATTGGCACTACACAAATGCCAGGCTATGACCATCACCAATAACAGACTATCTAACCACCACCTTGATATCCACCTTGATGGTGTTACCATCACTGTATTCCCCACTATCAACATCCTGGGGGTTACCACTGACCAGAAACTCAACTGGATTCATCATCTAAATACTATGGGTACAAGAGCAGGTAAGAAGCTGGGAACCTGCGGCGAGTAACTCCCCTCCCGACTCCCCAAAGCCTGTCCACCATCTACAAGGCACAAGTCAGGACTGTGATGGAATACTCCGCACTTGCCTGGATGGGTGCAGCCCCAACAATACTCAAGAAGCTTGACACCATCCAGGACAAAGCAGCCCCCACTTGATTGGCACCACATCCACAAGCATCCACTCCCTCCACCACCGACGCTCAGTAGCAGCAGTGTGTACTATCTACAAGATGCACTGCAGAATTTCACCAAAAATCCTCAGACAGCACCTTCCAAACCCACGACCACTTCCATCTAGAAGAACAAAGGCTGTAGATATATGATCTAGAAGGACAAGGGCAGCAGATACATGGGAATACCAGTCCCTGCAAGTTCCCCTCCAAGCCATTCACCATCCTGACTTAGAAATATATTGTCATTCTTTCACTGTCGCTGGATCAAAATCGTGGAATTCCCTCCCTAAGGGACATTGTGGGTCAACCTACAGCACATGGACTTCAGTGGTTCAAGAAGGCAGCTCACCACCACCTTCTCTCAATGGGCAAACAGGGATGGGCAATAAATGCTGGACCCAGCCAGCGATGCCCACATCCCATGAATGAATTTAAAAACAGATATTAGGAGAGTGAGGTAATAAACAAAGCAAATCTTACTCTGTAAAGTTGTAAATGGCTTTACTTTCTATCTCATCTTTCACAACCTAAACACATCCCAAAGTATTTTACAGCCATTGATGCATTTTAAAATGGAGTCCCTGTGTAACGGAGGAAAGACTGAAGTTAATTTATAAACACAGCTCCCACACACAGCTAGGTCACATTGGCCTTATAAGCTGTGTGTTGTGATGTTGGTGAAATATTGCCCACAACACTTGGATAATCCTTGCTGCTCTACTTTGAAATAATGTCCTGAGATCTCTGTGCGCACCTGAGATGACAACTGGGAGCTTCCTTTGCAAACTGGGCTGTTCTGTTTGTTATATTATAATAGTTTGTGTTTATTCCGAGGAGCCGACTGCTGAACTGAGGGCTTTGATGTTCTTACCTCAGGGAACGACCGAATGCAGCGAGCAGAGGGAAGGTTGGTATATCCACTGGCTTCTTGAATGCCCAGTAATAGGAAGCGAAGGCACCAGCCAGTGTGCACTGTCCTAGTGCAATGGCAAAATTCACCAGCCACAAAAAGACAAAGAGGTTGCAGATCTGAAGAATGAAGATGTACTTGTGGTAAACACTCTCTCCGCCGTAGAAAGCGAAGGCACATTGAGCACCCGGGCACAACTTGGTGACATTGCTGGTGTTAAATACCTGCCAGGGAAAGAAAAGCCACAGATCATCAGTGTGGGTGGCTAGCATTTTTTTGTTAATTCATTCGCAGGATGAGGGCATCACTGGCCAGGCCAGCATTTATTGCGCATCCCTAACTGCCCAGAGGAGAATCAATCAAATTGCTGTGGATCTGGAGTCACATGTAGGCCAGACCAGGTTAGGATGGCCGTTTCCCTCCCTAAGGGACATTAGTGAACCAGATGGGTTTTTCCCCAATAATCGACAATGGATTCATTAGACTCTTTAATTCCAGATGTTTTTATTGCATTTAGATTCCACCATCTGCCATGGTGGGATTTGAACCCAGGTACTCAGAACATTACCAGGTTCTCTGGATTAACAGTCTGGAGATAATACCACTAGGCCATTTTCCAAGCTGACTATCGCTATCATCTTGTGGTATGTGCCACATCCACGGGGTCAGGACTGCCACCAATCTTTCCCTTGTCTTTGATAAAAGCAACATCCTGCAGATGCTGATAATCTGAAACAAACACATAGAATGCTGGAGAAACTCAGCAGGTCTGGCAGCTGAAGAGAGAAACAGAGTTAATGTTTCAGGTTAAGATGACTTTTCTTTGGAAGAGGAGAAGAAGAGTCATACCAAGCTCGAAATGTTAACTCTGTCTCTCTGTCCACAGACACTGCCAAAGCTGCTGAATTTCTCCATCAATTTCTGCTTTTCTTTCTCTTCTGTCTTTGCATTGCCATGAATCTATGGAGTGATTACTGGTGAAGATTACATCACCATGGAGTACCTGTACAATATGCCTGTTCTGAGGGAGCATGAAAGTTTATTTCATGACAATAATAATTACAGGGACACTGCTCAGGTAGAACGAGCAGGGCCTAATGGAGCTGATCCAGATCCAACTGCTCCCTCCAAAAACTCGACAGAACTCCCCATTTCCACCCACATGCTGTGTGTGACATCAGCAGAATAGATGGAGCCAATGCAACATTAACCCTTTCAGAACCAAGACCATATAAATCTATCAGGTTACACATCAGGCTTAAAAAGAAGTTCATTCAATTCATTGCTCAATCAACAAGGCTGAGCTGTCCCTAATTGCTCCGGGACTGTGTTGCAGAGCTCTCTTTCTTATTGACCCAATGGTAATGGGTTTGATACAAAAGGGAGTCTCATTCGACCCCCTCAAAGGGCAGTTCATGGTGAGCCACATTGGCATGAGACTGAAGTCACGTACACTGTCAGACCAACTAAGGATGGTAGGCTTCCCTCTTTAAAGGACGTTATTGAACCAGCTGTGTTTCTAAGACAGCTGACTGCTTCATGGTCATTAATTCCCTGCATCCCTGATGTTTTATAAAACTGATTTTCATTCTTAAACTGACCTGGCAGGGAAATGAACTCATGCTTGTGATGGTAACACTGCAGTGCCTGGCGGCCATTGTTGTCTTTTATCAGGGGGGTCAGTGGGGGTAGGGGGAGATTGTAGACAGAGGGTGAAGAAGGATACCTCGTTCTGGTGAACTGGCAGCACCTCAGGTATTGCCATGAGTCCACATGGCAGAATTAGGGCAAGCTGCCCATCACAGGGAGGGCAAGACCCATCCCAAAGCCCTGGACCTTGGACCGGAGACTGCTGAGATTTCAGCTTTCTGCTCCTCTTACCCAGGGTAACATCCAACTGGATCACTGCATGGTGGCCTGTCCATCAGCACAATACCTAGTGTCACAGCAGACAGACATGGTCCACCAGGGGAGGGGAACCTTCGGACAGCAGGCCTGGAGGAAGTGACTAATTGGCATCAGGCCCACAGGTTTCCCTGAGAGAACGTTAAATTTTAATTTAATACGGATTTTCAGAATCACCAAGTGTTGGCATTGGTCAAGTATTCAGAGAAGAATTGTCTCCCAGTGGCAGGATAGTCAGTAAGTGGAGGAGACAGATTTAAAGTAATTGCCAACATCTTTTTTTCTCTTTATTCATTCATGGGATGAGGGTGTCACTGACCAGGCAGCATTTATTGCCCATCCCTAATTGCCCAGAGGGCAATTAAGAGTCAACCACATTGCTGTGGGTCTGGAGTCACGTGTAAGCCAGACCAGGTAAGGATGGCAGTTTCCTTCCCTAAAGAACATGAGTGAACCAGATGGGTTTTTCCAACAATCGACAATGAATTCATGGTCATCATTAAATTCTTAATTCCAGATATTTATTGTCCCCAAAACATTATCTGGGTCTCTGGATTAACAGTCCAGCGATAACACCACTAGGCCATCGCCTCCCCTACTCTCTAGTAGGGAGATGAGGGATTGTTTAACATAGTCAGTTGCTGTGATGTGGAAGGTGCTTCCTGAAAGGACAGTGGAAGCAGATTCAATCATAACTTTCTGAAGGGAACTGGAAATGAGGCTCTGAAACATTGAAATGAGGAGGAGTAGGAGTAGGCCATTTGGCCCTTCGAGCCTGATTCAATAGGATCATGGCTGCTCATCCAACTCAGTCCCCTGTTCCCCGCTTCCTACCCCATACCCTTTGATCCCTTTAGCCCTAAGAATTTTAGCCGTAAGAAGTTTTGAATATAAAGATAGATGGAATTGAAAAGCTGGGCTTTTAGGCTGAGATGATGAAACCGTCAAAGTGTCACAAAAACCTAACTGGTTCATTCATGGCCTATCGAGAAGGAAACTTGCCACCCTTACCTTACCCGGTCAAGGCAATATGTGACTCCAATCTGACACCAACACGGTTGACTCTAAATGGCCTTTCAAATTTGCCTAGAAAGACTCTTATGTTGTATGAAGTGGAATCTCGTCCTTGCTCCATCTCGTTCCCAATATGTGCACAAACCAACTGATTACCTCAGGATTGCATGTTCTATTTGCATATATACAATGACCCCGATTGGTCATAATTTTGTACACAGCTTCACCAGATGTTGACAGGAATCTGAATAGTTCATGTTAAAAAGTGTATCAATAGTTTTTAATTGTTAGCATCCCAAAAACCCAGCAGAACTTTAAAGCATAATACCACTCTGACAGAGATATATTCAGCATAGCACAGAACCTTCCAGCACAGAAAAAGGCCATTTAGCCCATCATTCCTGCCCTGACCCTTTGAGCAATCTATTCAGTTATTCCCATTCCATCGCTCTTTCCACATAACCTGCAAATGTTTCCATTCACTGCATTTCCCCGATTCCCTTTTGAAAGCTATGATTGAATCTGTTCCCACCATCCTTTCAGGCAGCAAGTTCCAGATCCCAAAATCTCGCTGTGTAAAGCAATCTCCCTCTCTGGGATAATAAGGTGTGGAGTTGGATGAACACAGCAGGCCAGGCAGCATCAGAGTAGCAGGAAAGCTGACGTTTCAGGTCTGGACCCTTCTTCAGAAATGGGGGAGGGGAAGGGGGCTCTGAAATAAATAGAGAGAGGGAAGTGGTGATGGAGCCAGTAAAGGTAGGGAGTTGGGATGGGGGTTGGTCAGTGAGGAGGGAGGGGTGGGTATGTGGGAGGGAAGCCGCACAGGTCAAGGAGGCGGGGATGAAACTAGTAGGTGAGTGTAGGTAGGAAGTGGGGGTGGGGGTTGGTCAGTGAGGTGGAAGGAGCAGATAGGTGGGAGGGAAGACAGACAGGTCAAGGAGGCAGGGAAGAGAGGGGGGTACTGGTCTTGGGATGAGGTCGGGAGTGGGGAAATTTTGAAGCTCGTAAAGTCCACATTGAGACCAGTGGGTTGTAGGGTTCCAAGGCAGAATATGAGGTGCTGTTCCTCCAGTGTTTGGGTGGCATCGTTGTGACACTGGGACTTTTCCCCGATTCCCTTCAATCTGTCTCCTTCTGCTCACTGACCCTCCTGCCCCTGGAAACACTTTCCCCTGATTTACTCAATAAAACTCTCTCCATGATTTTGAACACCTCGACTGAGTCCCTCAGAACCCTTTCTGCTCTAAGAAGAACAATCCCAGCTTCTCCAATCTTTCTGTGTCATTCATTCCAGTATACCTCCTCAGCTCTGCCTCAGAAATACTAATTGTTTGTTTAAGCCATTTTAAGAGAAAATGGCATCATTTGCTGCTTCAATTTCTTTAAAACCTAAAACTGTCACCAGACCTTTTGAGCTGAGGTTTGACTGTAAGGACCTGATATTTAGTCCTGAGTGTTTAACATTTTGTGAGGTGAGATCAATGACGACACAACAGTGTTATCTAAAAGGATACATAGCTGTGATCGCCCAATAGGAAATACAGACAGCAAGGAGCAGGAAGGTGATGATTGGGTAGAATAAAGTGGACATGATATATCCTATGGCCCTGGTGACAAAAAAACACAAACAGTTAAAATGGAGATAGAACTACATGACTTAATAGCATTAGATTGTAATTAAATCATTAACGTATAACATTACATCAATAACATTAGAATAATATTACATTTACAGCACAGCAACAGGTCCAAACAGCATTTTCTGGTATTTATTTTCACATGAGCCTCCAACACCTGTATCTCACCATATCCCTATATCCTTAATTCATGTCTGTCTAACGTCTTCATGCATATAGTCTTCTTGTAGTTCCACATCCTCACAACTCTCTAGGTGAAGAGTTTTCTCCTTACATTTATTTAGTGAGTCTCTTACGTTGATGGTTAAATTGTCCCTGGATTTTTAAAGCTATATTCAGAAGTCAAATCTACTTCTCAGCAGAAGTTCAGGTTTGAGATGGTGCATTAATTGTGAGGTTCTAATTGCTGGATGGGTCACAGCATGTGGGATGAGCTCCACACAAGTTTGGATATAACTGAGGGATACATTAGGGTATAATGGACAGTTATGTTACAATACACAGCACTGTAGGATTGGGGTATATGGAGGGTTACACTAAGGTTTAATAGACAGGATACAATTGAGGTTCAGTTGGGAGACTGTTAGTGAACATTCGGCATCATGGTGGAATGTATTGGAGGGTGAATGAGTTACTATAGGGTATGATGGAGTCACATGTTAAGATATATTACTTGGGATTAGGGTGTGGAGATTATAATAAAGTACGACTGGAATAACATTATATTTCATTCCAAAGTTATGTAAATGTGGAATTGTCCATTTTGAAGGAAGGAAAGAAAAGAAACATATTATTTTATTGGAGAGAGGTTGCAGAGGGATCTGGGTATCTTACTGCATGAATCACAAAAGGTTAGTCTGCAGGCACAGCAAATAATTAGGATAATTCATAGCATTTTATCAATTATCACAAGGAAATGTGAATACGGGCTTATAGTGTTTATACCTCAGTTATACAGGGCACTGATGAGTCCACATCTGGAGTACTGTGTACAGTCCTGGTCATCGTATTTAATGAAAGATGTGATTCTGTACAACTTTGGTCCCTTTACGTGAGGAGGGATGTAATTGTATTGGAGGAAGTTCAGAAGAGGTTCGCTAGAGTGATTGCAGAGATGAGGCATGTGTTATAAAGAGAGATTGAGCAGTTTAGGCCGGTACTCTCTGGAGTTTAGAAGAATGAGAGGAGATCTAATTGAGAGATATGATATGCTAAGGTGGATCAACAAACTAGACATAGAGAGGATGTTTCTTCATGTGGGACAATCTAGAAAGAAAGGTTTAGCTTTAGCATTAGGGCTATCAATTTAAAACAGAGATGAGGAGAAATTACTGCTCTCAAAGGGTCATGAATTTGAGGAATTCACTTCCCCAGACAATAGTAGATGCCGGGACATTGAGTAATTTTAAGGAGGAGATAGGCAGATTTTTAATTAGTAACGGGTTGAAGGATTATGGAGAGTGGGCAGGAAAGGGAAGTTGAGGCTGAGATGAGATCAGCCATGATTGTATTAAATGGTGAAGCAGTCTTGAGGAGCTGAATGGTTACTCCTGCTCCTAGCTCTTACATCCTGAATGTTCTTACATATTTGCCTCGGAAGCAGTTCACTCTGAAACAGTGGGGTTGTCTTATGAGGAAATGCTGGAAAGGCTAGACTGCTATGCTGCTGAAGTTTAGGAGAGAACGAGGTGGCTTGATTGAAACACAAACACCTCAGGGGGCTTCGCCGGTGCACGTGGAGAGAATGTTTCCTCTTCTGGGAGGATCTAGAACTAGGGGTCACTGTCTAAAAATAAGGGGCTGTCCATTTACAACAGGGGAATGTATAGTAATCAGATCAGCCATGATGTTGCTGCATGACAGAATAGACTTGAGATGCCAATGTGTTGTATATCTCCTAATTTTGTATGTTCATTGAGTTAAATTTGGAGAGAATTCAGCAATTGTACTTTGCAAGGTTACGATATTTAGAATATCTGTGGTTGGGGCTGTTAAGCTAGCACACATTGTATCTGGGAACGTTTTTGAGATCTTGAGAAGCATTCTAGAATAAATCCACTTCAGTTCCTTAAATATTACCATTGGCCACTTACTTGCTTCCTTCCCTGAGCAGTGCAATTGCAATACAGATTCTTTTCCGTAGGAAAATCAACATCAGAATGATGATCACTTCAATAATGCAGAGAAAGATCACTGGAAAACATCAAAGGCCACATGTTAAGAAAATACAAAGAACTTTAAAAGTGTGGATTTGAATAGAGCCATCACTGAGACTGCAATTATACACTGCAAACCATCTACCGCATGAATGTGCACAAGGACTTGAGTGAAAAGCCAATTGGTGATTCCTGGAGACTAATATTTTGGTGTTTGGAGAAATTAATGTTCATGTTTACTCCGTCTTATGCTGAAAACATTCTGTTGGAGGTTTTCTGAGCTCCTGTGACATTGTAGGACCTTTGGAAAACTCCGCACTAAGTGAGCCCAGAGTGTGGCGTGAGCCTGTTGGGTCGGGTGTCTCGCAGCTGGAGGGCTGTATAGCTTGGAGGAAAGGAACTCAGACCCAGGATCTAATAGCCAGCTGTCTGTCCCATTGTAGTGCTGTCATCAAGGTCAGCTATCCCATACATTTAATGGACGCCCTCAGGAATTCATTAACTCCTGTAATTACTTGGCCATTGGAAGAAATCAATCAGGTTCCAGCACATTACTGTGCAGCATCCAGTGTGTGTGTGTGTGTGGGTGGGGGGGGGGGTGGTGGTGGTGGTGGGTGTGGGCGGTGGGGGGATGGGGGGAGCGGGGATAGGAGTTGTCACACTGGTTTTCATTCTCCGTGCACAATGGGCAAAGGCAAATCCCAGTTATACTCAATACAGCTTTCCATTGAAATTCCGACACATTCTCCTGTAACCACTGTGCCATGGCACAATCCTTACAATGCATCGTAAACTCAACCCTCCCGAAACCTTGTAGCACAACTCTCCAAAACTCCCAACGCATCCTAACCCAAACCTGGCATTTTGCTTTGTGATAACCTCTCAATGCACCATAAGTCAACACCCACAATACACTGCAACTCAACACCCGCAATACACCGCAACTCAACACCCGCAATACACCGCAACTCAACACCCGCCAAACACTGCAACACAACACCCACAATAACACAATAACACAACACCCACAATACACCGGAGATTGCATGAACTGCAGACGCCAGAGTCAGAGTCAATATGTTGTGGAGCTGGAGGAAACAGCAGGTCAGGCAGCATCAGAGGAGCAGCAGACTCTGTCCTGATGAAGGGTCCTGGCCCGAAACGTTGACTCTCCTGCTCCTCTGATGCTGCCTGACCCGCTGTGTTCTTCCAGCTCCACACTGTATTGACTCACAGTACATCATAACACAACACCCACAATACACTTTAACTCAACACTCTTGATACATCATAACTCAAACCTTCCAATTTATTATAAGTTACTGTTCCATTATATCATGACAAAACTTCATATTATAACAGCTTTTTTTCTTTATTTGTGGGATGTGGGCATTGCTGGCTGGCCAGGATTTATTGCCTATCCCTAGTTGCCCTGAAGAGACCCATTTCCCACATGTTAATAAAAAATTACAACCTTCATACCATAACTCAATCTTCCCAATATGTCACTATATGAGCGTATCTTTGTGTTCATCATTTAAAACGAAGTTTATTTCTTTGACCATAAGGCCATAGGAAATTGGAAGAGGAGTAGGCCATTCGACCCCTCAAACCTGCTGTGCCATCCAAAAGGATCATGGTTGATCCATTGTGTCCACTTTCCTGCCCTTCCCATTAAGTCTGATTCCCCGACTGCTCAAGAAACATAACAAAACATAACCTCCCAATACATTGCAGCTTAACCCTAACAATACATCATAACTCAACCTGATCTACATGTCTTAATGTAACTTCCAATGCATTGTAATCTACTCTTCTGATACATCTTAGCCTGTTTTCTAAAGATATTGTAACTCAACCTTCCAGCTGGTCCTAAAGTAACTGGGACAATATTATCATTACATAACACCCCAATATATTATAACTCAATTTCCCAATGTACACTGACTTTTTCTCCCAATATATCACAGCTCATCTCTCCAACAATGCATATTTAACACCCATTTTGTGTTTTTTCCGAAGACAGTTTCAACCTTGTAATTTTCTTCCAAATGGGAATGACATTGTGCTAATGTTAAATCTCACAGTGTAAACTTCTGAAGATGTTAGGAGACTTACTAAAGGCAAGCCATGTCTGCCTGAGCTGTAGATACACCCTGAAGTCCATCTGGAAACCAATGTCGTAGATAGGGATGTCACTGCCAGGTTTACCCTTTAGACTGCTGTACTCCCAGTAACAGTGCCAGATCCCTAAATCAGGGGGAAAGAGAGGTTAAAACCAATTCATTTATTCAGTGACTGCAAATCCATGGAACTAAAATGATCTTCTCTTCAACTACTGACTCTATGGGGATTGGTCAACCACTTACTTTATAAAGTGGACTCTCCTCAGTGACATTGCAAAGAAGGTTTTCCTGAGAGCCCAATGGTAAAGGTGGGCTGTGTAGGGACCTGACCTGTCCTGAACCTCTTTAGCAAGGACCACTTGATCCAAGCTTTAAATTAAAGACCGGGAGAAAGACACTGAGCCAGAAAGCACTGAGGGACTCTGCAATCTCACTCTGTATTCTCCCCCCTGCATTGTGTTGACTAACAGTGGTCCCTGGTCTGACAATGCCTTAATTGTAAAAATCACGTCCTTGTTTTCAAATCCTTCCATGGACTCACCATCATTGTTCCCTCGTGCAGCCCTACAGCCCTTTGAGATTTCTGTGTTCCTCCAGTTTTAGCCTCCTGAGCATCCTGGATTTAAATTGCAGCTCTGGCCTCCAGCTGCCTGTGGGCCCTGAGCTCTGGAATTCCCACCTGAGACCTCTCTGCCTGTCTCCATCCTCTCTCCCAAAAACTGTTAAGCAAGCTTTTGATCAGCTGCTCGAATATCTTCTTCACCCCTCTCAGGTAATTTTATTTTGATTATCACAGTGATAAAGCATCTTGAGATCCTTTAAATGCCCTTCAGACTACTGCAGATAAAGCAACTTTGAGATGCATAAAGGTGCTACAAAATGCAAGTTGCTTTCATGTAAGACTATTGTAATCATGACTGTTGAACAACATTTAATGAACCCAAAATGATAAGTCAGGCCAGTTGCAGCAACTACCCCTCCATCTAATGTACACGCTAAAGAATTAACCTGTGCCTCTATGTATCTGTGTCAATAAGCCATCTTCTCAAATGGGAGCTGGAGACAGGCAATTAATCCATCAATTTATCCATTTCTTTTTGAAAGTTATTATTGAATTTGCTTCCTGCGACCTGTCAGACAGTGCGTTCCAGATCACAACAACTCCCTGTGTGCAATCTCATGGGAAGAGGAGGGGGCTATTCAGCTCCTCATGATTGTATCCTTCACTCAGTGAGATTGTTGCTTCTCTCAAACTCAGCTTGACCCACTCACCTGGCTCTGTGGCCCTTCATAACATCACCTGACAAAAATTTATCTCCAGTTTGAAATTTTCAAATGACCCGCTCCCCACCCAACAGCTCAACAGATTTTTAGGGTGAGGGTGTTCTACTCTTTTTTTATTCATTTGTAGGATGTGGGCATCGCTGGCTGGACCAGCATTTATTGTCCATCCCTAGTTGCCCTTGAGAAGGTGGTAGTGAGCTGCCTTCCTGAACTGCTGCAATCCATGTCAATAGGTAAACCCACACCACCCTTAGGGAGGGAGTTTGAGGATTCTGACCCAATGACAGTGAGGGAATGGTAATATATTTTCAAGTCAGGATGGCGATTGGCTTGGAGGGTACCCATCTATCTGCTACCCTTGTCCTTCTAGATGGAAGTGTTTGTAGGTTTGGAAGGTGCTGTCTGAGGATCTTTGGTGAATTTCTGCAGTGCATCTTGTAGATAGTACACACTGCTGTTACTGAGCATCGGTGGTGGAGGGAGTGGATGTTTGTGGATGTGGTGCCAATCAAGCGGGCTGCTTCGTCCTGGATGGTGTCAAGCTTCTTGAGTGTTATTGGAACAGAACCCATCCAGGGAAGTGGGGCAGGTAATTCCATTGCCTTTTTCATACTTTCTGACCTGGGGGTATATGTGTGTGTAGATTATTGAAGGTGGCAGGACAGGTCATAGAGTCACACAGATGTACAGTATGGAAACAGACCCTTCAGTCCAACTTGTCCATGCCGACCAGACATCCTAAATAAATCTAGTCCCATTTGCCAGCATTTGATCCATATTCCTCTAAACCCTTCCCATTCATGTACCTATCCAAATGCCTTTTAAATGTTATAATTGTACCAGCCTCCACCACTTCCTCTGGCAGCTCGTTCCACACGCACACCACCCTCTGTGTGAAAATGTTGCCCCTTAGGTCCCTTTTAAATGTTTCCCCTCTCACCTTAAACCTATGCCGTCTAGTTTTGTCCCCCCTACCCGGGGGAAAAGACTTTGACTATTCACCTTATCTATGGCCCCCATGATTTTATAAACCTCAGAGAACAGTGTAAGAAGATTTAATGGAGGTTTTCAAAATCTTGAACAGGTTGGACAGAGTGAATAGGGAGAAACTGATCCTACTTATAAAAGGGTTAAAAACCAGTCAGGCACAGATTTAAAGTGGTCTGCAAATGAAGCGAAGGTAATGGGAGAAAAAAACCCTCACACAGCGAGTAGATTGGGTCTGGAACGTACAGTTTGGAGAAGTGGTGGGGACAGGTTCAATTGAGACTTTCGAAGTGGCAATGGATAATTAATTGGAGAGAAAGAGCGTGTAGGGATATGGGGAGAAGGAAAGAGATTGGCACTGGCTAATGATGCTCGTTTGAACAGCCAATGCAGGTACGAAGGGCCGCCTATAACAATTCTGTGATTTGGTGATATCACTCCAGAATGTGTGTCTTGAAGTATCGAGACTAAATGTTCAAATGGTGGGGGAAAGTGATAGAACATAGAACATAGAACATTACAGCGCAGTACAGGCCCTTCGGCCCTCGATGTTGTGCCGACCTGTGAAACCAATCTGAAGCCCATCTAACCTAAACTATTCCATTATCATCCATATGTTTATCCAATGACCATTTAAATGCCCTTAAAGTGGGCGAGTCTACTATTTTTGCAGGCAGGGTATTCCACGCCCTTACTACTCTCTGAGTAAAAAACCTACCTCTGACATCTGTCCTATATCTATCACCCCTCAATTTAAAGCTATGTCCCCTCGTGCTAGCCATCACCATCCGAGGAAAAAGGCTCCCACTGTCCACCCTATCTAATCCTCTGATCATCTTGTAATGATTTTAACAAGGACTCGATGCAAAATACAGTGCCTGGCAATATTGACCTTCGGGCGTTTCATGAGCCTTTATGCTCAACAAAGCCAACTGATGTCAATTCATGAAGCATTGGCTTCTAACACAACTACTGACCGAGTCCTGAGGTAGGGTCACTGGACCCGAAACGTTAACTCTGATTTCTCTTCACAGATTCTGACAGACCTGCTGTGCTTTTCCAGCAGCTTCTGTTTTTTGTTACCAACTGCACTGGACTTTATTAATTAGCTGGTAAAGGTAAGGTCACCATCATCTTACCAGGCCTTAGGGCTGCTCTCTCATTAAAACAAGAGACAATTGGTGGTGGTTGAACCTGAGGTTCACTACAGCTTAGGCGAGGGGAGACGTTGAGAAGGAGAGTCCTTCATGGTAACCTCAGCTGATACAGGAATTCAACCCCACACTGTTGTTAAGCTCACAACTAGAGGGACATAGGTTTAAGGTGAGATGAGAAAGCGAGGTTCAGGGGCAACTTTTTCACGCAGAGGGTGATACATATATGGAGCGAGCTGCCAGCGGAAGGGTAGAGGCAGGTACGATTACAATATTTAAAAGACATTTGGACAAGTACATGAGTAGGAAAAGTTTAGAGGGATATGGGCCAAATGCAGGCAAATGGGACTAATTCAGTTTAGGAAACCTGGTCAGCATGGATGAGTTGTGCCGAAGAGCCTGTTTCTGAGCTGTATGACTCTATGATTCTATGGGATCGTTCTGCAAACCAGCAGTCCAGCCATTTAGCTCTTACTGTGTGGTGAACGAACAGAATTAAAATACTCAGGTAGACTGAGGCTAATGGCAAACTCCTGGTTATAGGAGAGTTAGAACATGAATGTATTGAACTCTAACAAAATTCTCGTCAGAAGATTTGACCTATTGTTAAGAGAAAAACAAATGAAGTTGTTAACTCATTTGATTTGCAGCATTCCCAATGCAATTGCATTTGTATAAAGTAAACCATGCCAAGGTGCTTCACAGCGATCTGACACTAATTCCCCTGAGGAGATGTTAGGGACAGGTGACCAGAAGGTTGGTCAAAGGGGTAGGTGTTAGGAGGCCTCCGTGAGCAGGATTCGGCCGTCGAGGGGGCGGTGAGGTTTAGGGGAGGGAATTTCAGAGCTCAGGCACCTGAAGGCTGGGTCATCAATTGTGCAGTGATGACAAACAGGCAAACACAAGAGGACAGAAGTGCAGAGTTTCTAGAGGACAGTGGAGAATGTTCGGGAGGCTGAGGCTTGGTTAGGGGGAATAAGGGTTTTGAAGTTGAGGTTTTGGTACTCTGGGAGCTAATGTAGGTTAGGGGGCACGGGGTTGATGGGTGAACGGGACTCAGTGTGAGAGCGTTTAAAAGCAGCAGGAAGTGCATTGGAAATGCAATATCTGTTTGAGTCAATGTGAAAATGCAAAGCTCAGTGTGTGTTACATGACTCATGGAACTTATGGTAATGTGAAGGCTGCTCTCCCAGTGATTTTTATCGTGACTGAAGCCACTGTTGATCAGCTAAGCATCGGGGACACTAAATACTAAAAGTAATTTTCCCTAATAGAATCTTCCAGTTCAGAAACGGGTCATTCGGCCCACGATATCACCTTGATAACCTTTTGTGGAGATAAATGTCTCCTCATTTCCCTTGCCTCAGTTATTTGAAATCAGTGGGCCCTGCTCACTGGCACACTTTCCATAATAAATAGTGTCCCCCACTCGCTCAAACGAAAGCTCCCATAATTGCAAACATCTCTATTGAACAAGATAGACTGGAGTTATTTACTTTGGAGCACAGGAGACTGAAAGGGGACATGAGTGAGATGTATAAAATGATTAGGGACATAGACATTGTCGACCAGAAGAAACTTTTCCCCTTAGTGGAGGAATCAATGGCCAGGTGCAGAGGTTGAAAGTGAGGGGCAGCAGATTTCGAGAAGATGTAACTGCAGCCCCACAGCTGCATAAATAGGCTTCACAACAATTAGCAAATTCCTTGTTTTCAAAGCATACATCCAGCCTTATAAATCCCTGGGTTTCAAAACAGTTCTTTCTCATTTCAGTCCACAGTTTTAAACAGGCCAAAAGCAAAAAGATGCAGTCTTTACAAAATTGGTTCTTACAATGCAGCTGCACTTCAGTTTGCTGTGACGCATTTCGAGAGATCTCAAGCTGGTGAAAGGTACAGGATAAAAGTCTATTCCTCATCAGTCCATCGGCCTGCTGATTGACAATGGCCCCTGGACCTAATATGGACATTAGTGTGAACTAGGAGGAGTAGCCCATTCAGCCTCCATGCTTGTTCTGATGGTTAATAAGGTCAAGACTGATCTGTTTGTGTTTCAAATTCTCATTCACCCCCAACAGTCTGATTCCTGACCTGACAAGAATCTATCCACCTCCATCTTAAAAATATTCAATGACCTGCCTCCTGAAGCAGGAAGTTCCAAAGTGACACAATCCTCTGAGGGACAAGAATCCTCTTCATCTCCAGCCTAAAAGGGTGACGCCCCCTAGTTCTGGACTGACCCACAAGAGGAAATCTCCTTTCCACATTCACCTTGTCGAGACCATTCAGGATCTGTTACACTTCAATCAGATCCCCAACACACCCCCTCACTCTCCTAAACCCCAGGGGAAACAAGCCTAGCCTGTCCAACCTTTCCCCATAACCCAACCCACTCACTCTCAGGATCAATCCAGTAAGCCTTCATGGCCCAACTTTTCAATTCTCTTACAAGAACAAAAGAGCAGGAAAATCACAGAGGACCAGGCAGCCTCTGTGGAGTGAGAAATAGAGTGAACGCCCCAGATCAAATACCTTCCATCAGAACCTGAAGAGAAAGTAGAATGTTAAGAGTTTCTAAGCCAGTGGAAGGGATGGGGACAGCAATAACAAGTGTTTATCAAAGTGGTCGTGGGTTTGGAAGGTGCTGCCTGAGGATATTTGGTGAATTTCTACAGTGCATCTTGTAGATAGTACACACTGCTGCTACTGAGCGTCGGTGGTGGAGGGAGTGGATGTTTGTGGATGTGGTGCCAATCAAGCGGGCTGCTTTGTCCTGGATGGTGTCAAGCTTCTTGAACGTTGCTGGGACTGCACTCATCCAGGCAAGTGGGGAGTATTCCATCACACTCCCGACTTGTACCTCGTAGATGGTGGACAGGCTTCAGGGAGTCAGGAGGTGAGTTACTCACAGCAGTATTCCTAGCCTCTGGCCTGCGCATAGTCACCTAACATATGATTCTGAAAGATGGACACAGTGCACTGTCAATGTCCAACTCACATACAGATATACCCACCATAACATCACGGTCACAAAGAGAGATGACACGTACCATAACCAATCACCGCGATCACGGCAAAGATGACAAACCAGAACAAGACCCCGGCTGTGAAGCGGAGCAAGAGGATGAAGATGAGACTGACGATCATAGCAATGACCAGCCCACTGGAAACAAACACATTCAAAATGAGAGGAAGGAGGCCCTCCATAAAATCCAAACTGTTTTCATTGAGCAGAGGAGACTCAAACTTATGTTTATCTAGCATCATTCATAACCTGACATCATAAAATGCTTTACAGCCAATGTACTACTACGGTAATGTCAAAAACAAGGTCAATTTGTGCATAGCAAGCTCCCAGTCACATAATGATCAGACAATGTGTCTTTAGCAATGGCGATCGGGGATAAAGATTAGTCAAGCCAATGGGGATAAAGAAAGAAATTGTGTTTCTATCATAGCTTTTATAGTCTCAGGACATCCAGGAGTACTTTCCAATCAATGGAGTACTTAATGAAGGGATTTTCACACAGGGTCAGATCATTGCCTTTTGGGGATACTGCACAGCAGTGAAACATAGACCAGTGGTGTCCCCAGTTCTTCTTCGAGTTGTGAACAGTTCTGGTCCACTTAACTAAGGTAAGATAGACGGATACCAAGTATAAAGAGACTGTCTTATGTGGAGAAGTTGAGCAGGTTGAACAGTAAATGCTGAGGTTGAGGAGAACGAGTGGAGACCTTATTGATACAAGATACTTAGGGGGACTTGACAAGGTAAATACAAAAAAGTGGTTTCCCCTTGTGGGAGAGGCTAGTACCAAAGGGCATTGTCTCAGAATAAGGGTCACCCATTTAAGACAGGGATGAGGAGGACTTTTTGTTTTTTCTCCAAGGTAGTGAATCTTTCCCACAGAAGGCTGTCAAGGTTGGGTCATTAAGTATATCCAAGGCTGAGATAGACAGATTTTTAATTGGTAAGGGAATCAAGGGTTATACGGAAAAGGCAGGAAAGTGGAGTTGAAGTTAATCAGATCAGCCATGATCTCATTGAATGGTAGAACAGACTTGATGGGCTGAATGGCCTAGTTCTGTTCCAATGTCTAATGGTCTAATGGATGTGTGATTTTTTTTTTTACAGAATCATAGAAAGATGAGTATTACATTCATCAAGAAGTACAAATGGGGTGTCTGGTTAATATTTCAGCTGAAAGACAATGTTCCAAGCTGGAATGACGTGTCCTGTCATTTTTAACAGTCCCAATTCCCAAACTGTCACTCATTCGTAACAAAAAACATTGATTCAGATGTCCGAGACTCCAGTGGCAAAGCCAAACATGGACTGAATAATTTCTGACAGCTCTTAAAGTGTGTCAATCTCATAAATACAATGTTGTAAACCTCCCCAGTGTTTAATTAACAGCAGCTCCCAGTCAGGTCATTCAAGTGTAAACACAGAGTGGGCAGATAAATTGGTGTCACTGATGAGTTGTATGTTATTCCCAGAAAGTGATATTAGGAGAGGATGGAAGGTTGGTGTGAAATTGTCTTGAAAACTAAGGGACTGTAAATCAATTTAGACGAGACAGCACTAATTTTGTTAACAATCCCGTGTGAAGTTACAACAAAGGGTGGCTCTTTAATCAGCACTTACATTAAGATCCAGTACCAAGAGTTGGTGTAATCCTCAAATATCTTCATCCAAATCTCCCTGGCATCGAGGACATAATTTATTCCTCTGCAATAAATTTGAAGCATGTTACATCTTGCACTCAGTCATTTGCAATTGTCCAGTCTGGGCCCTAGTTTAACAAGGCAATCATTACAGCTTGATGCAGCAGGACAACAGGTTAATCTTCATGTTAAAAGCAAGGCATTAGGTAAGGCTGTAGCAGTGACACTACATTACATCACATTCCAGTAAATTACAGAACTATCCTTCAGTAGTTCACTTGTCAATTCCATTAGAAGAGACTGTGTTTTTTAACAGTTTAGGCCAGTGAGCCACAGTTTGCTATGGGTTTATTTACGGTAGCGACGATGTAGAAGTGTTTGTGTTAGACTGGGGTGGATGAGGTCAGGTGGCTCAGTGGTTAGCACTGCTGCCTCACAGAGACCTGGGTTCAATTCCACCCTCGGGCGACTGTCTGTGTGGCGTTTGCACATTCTCCCCGTGTCTGCGTGGGTTTCCTCCGGGTGCTCCAGTTCCCTCCCACATTCCAAAGATGTGCAGGTTAGAGTGGATTGGCCATGCTAAATTACCCCATAGTGTTCAGGGCCGTTTAGGTTAGATTGATTAGCCATGGGAAATTCAAGGTTACGGGGATAGGGTAGAAGGGTGGGATGCTCTTCGCACAGCCTATGTGGATTTGTTGGGCTGAATGATCTGTTTCCACACTGTACGGATTCTATGATTCTATGAGAAGTCACACAACTCTAGGTTGTAGTCCAACAGGTTTATTTGAAATCAAAAGTGCTCCAAAAGCTTCAAAATCAAAAGATTTCAAATAAACCTGTTGGACTATAACCTAATGTCTTGTGACTTCTGACTTTATTCATGGTGCTCACTCCAACAAGTTAATAAATAATGTGCATTTATATAGAAGATTTTCACAACCTTAGGATTCCCCCAAGCACTTTACAAATGTTGAAATGTTGTTGAGGGCTCGTCTCTGCTCCAAAGTAGGAAATGCGGTGCGAACATCTGCACAGCAAGATCCCACAGAAAGCAGCAGGAAAACCAGCAGATGATCTGTTTTGTTTTGAGATCGGTTTGTGGGATAGATGCCAGAGCAACTGGAAGAACTGCCCCTGCCTTCTTTCAGCACAGTGTGATGGGATATTTTATATTTCAGGGAGTGAGCAGGTAGGGTCTTGGTTTATCTGACAGATGGCAATAACAATTAGCCATCAATTATCCAAGAGTTTAACCTGGTTAGGGGAGAAGAACTTCAGATTTCTGAGGGGCTCTGCGGTAAGTTGTCTTCACCCATGGGGGGCAGGTATGTGGAACTTACTGCCTAAAAAAGGTGTTGGATGCAGAAACCCTCAAGACATTGAAGATGTTTTGAGATGAATGTTTGATGACCTGCATGTACTCAATGGACTGAAGGGTCTGTTTCCATGATGTAAAAGGTCTATCTTTTGAAAGAGGCTTATTGAAGTAGGGTATCTGAGTGGTTCTACCTGTGAATGAATTAAAACCTTCCAGGGAGAAAAGAATGTTGACAAAATGAAATCTAGCTGAGAAATTTCTATTTGTTATAGTCAAGCTCTGACAGGTGAAGTGTTGAAGTAGAACAATGTGTTGCAGCTGATTATTCCTGTGAATAAATCATTCACTGAATAAATCAGAGGAACGATTCCTATATTGGCCTGTGTACTGATGGTAACAAGGTCAGCCAGATGGACGTTATTGAACATGAGTTCCCCCATTGGGGCTGTTAATCTGGCCCAATCAGGGAGACGTGGCTGACAGATATAAACAGGTGTGTCAGAGGTTCTGTTCACTCTTGAGGGAGCTGGATCAGTGTCAAGGACTCTCCACGTGTAAATAAAGGATGACTTAGCGACAGGATACCGGCCTCTGTGGAGTTATTTCAGTCCGGGTTTGCTTGAGACACTTTTGAAACTAGGGGCTGAAAGACGACTTGGGATGGATTAAAATTCAATGTGTATGAAATTTTATTCTTTATTCATTTACGGGATGAGGGCGTCGCTGGCCAGGCAGCATTTATTGCCCATCCCTAATTGCCCAGAAGACAGTTATGAGTCAACCACATTGCTGTGGGTCTGGAGTCACATGTAGGCCAGACCAGGTAAGGATGGCAGTTTCCTTCCCTAAAGGGCATTAATGAACCAGATGAGTTTTCCAACAATTGATTATGGATTCACAGTCATCATTAGACTGTTAATTCCAGATATTTATTGAATTCAAATTCCACCATCTGCCGTGGTGGAATTTGAACCTGGGTCCCCAGAACATTATCTGGGTCTCTGGATTAACAGTCAAACAATAATACCACTAGGCCATTGCCTCCCCAGTTAACGTTGGATTTACTTTGCACAGAATGTGCAAAAGCATGTAAAAGATTGTGTGGTCCTGGTGGTCACTGAACCTGAAACATTAACTCTGTTTCTCCTCACAGATGCTGCCAGACCTGCTGGGTTTCTCCAGCAATTTCTGCTTCTGTGGCCTACTCTTCTTCCTTGTTTGTAAAACTGTGAAGATTGTATCATTTAAATTTGCTGTGCATTTGATTATGGACTGAACTGGGAAAGGGACTGTCTTAAAAACCAAGGAATGTAGAAAGGTTTTCTGCACATTTTAAAAGCAAGCTAACTGACACTCATTATAAGTATTGTTTACACAGCTATTTGTTCAAGCAGTAAAAGGGGTGGGGGGGAACAGATTAGTTGCAGATGATGTGGAGCTAAGGAGGGTGCACAAAGGGAAACTCAGCTGGCAACAGTAGCTAATTGGTCTATGAAGTGGTGACCAGTTATCAATGACCAAGGCTTTCTCCCTGCCAACAGCTGAGAGAGTGGCTCCCAGGAAGCTGAACAGCTTCTGCATGTGAATATTTTGACCCTAAAAGACATCGGATCCGAAAGGGAAGGAACCACCTTTATTCTGCAGTAAAAACGCCTCAGGCTCAAGGAAAACTGATTCAATTCCCCTTCTCAGTTGCTGCAAGCTGTAACCAATTAGTCAGAGACTTTATCAGTTGTGAACCAGCTGCTCTGTGCCTCCTGCAAAAGTGAAAGTACCTGGAGAAGGAAGATTAAAGAAGCAGCAGGTCCTGACAAGCTAAAAGGATCAATTCAGTGAAGCCTGTAAACAGGGAACTGCTTTCCCAGTCTTTTCCTCTACTGTAACATCAGTGTGTTTTTGTGTCTGTGGTTGTATGTATGTCTGTGTGCAGAGGGCAAGCAAGTGTTATAAGGGGATTTGAGTTGTAACGAGTAAAATCCTATGAATGGTTCATAATTGGTCATCTGTAGTTAGACTCTACTTATTTGTAACGAATAGTGATTCTTGTTAAGAAATGTGGTCTATGTTTTCTGTCAATTGGGGTCTAAAAGGCAGGGAAATTACAGACGTTTACAAGCTTATTAAAATCTTTAACTTTAGTGACAGGAACAGTGGGACTAGTTTTCCAGTACATTACCCCAGTGAGTCATGACAAAACTCAACTGAAAGGTCACTTTTTCAAATTTGTTATCAAGTTTTAGAACCCACAGTCAGCAATTCCTTGATGAAAGTTCACACTCCAGGCACAAACACAAATTTCCTCTGAACTGGCCTTATATAGGACCTCTCAACCCTCAAGGATTGGCTGAGAATCTCCAAAACTCAGATGCAATTAAGAATTTCGGTGAAAAGTCAGTGGAGCCTTTGAAAAACGTACTAATTCAGATATATTCCTTTGAAAATTTACACATTATTATAAAGGTTTCAGAGATGAGAGGAAAATGAAACAGAGCCAAGATTATTCCAATCAGACACTGAACTGAACTCACCAAATAAACACAGTGGCAATAAGGGCAGGTCAGAAGCTGGGAATACTGCGGTGAGTAACTCACCTCCTGACTCCCCAAAGCCTGTCCACCTTCTACAAGGCACAAGTCAGGAGTGTGATGGAATACTCCCCACTTGCCCCTGGAAGGGGGCAGTCCCAACAACACTCAAGAAGCTTGTCACCATCCAGGACAAAGCAGCCCACTTGACTGGCACTACATCCACAAACATCCACTCCCTCCACCACCGACGCTCAGTAGCAGCAGTGTGTACTATCTACAAGATGAACTGCAGAAATTCACCAAAGATCCTCAGACAGTACCTTCCAAACCCATGACCACTTCCACCTAGAAGCACAAGGGCAGCAGATACATGGGAACACCACCACCTCCAAGTTCCCTTCCAAGTCACTCACCATCCTGACTTGGAGACACATTGCCGTTCAGTCACTGTTGCTGGGTCAAAATTCTGGAATTCCCTCCCTAAGGGCATTGTGGGTTTACCTATAGCACATGGACTGCATTGGTTCAAGAGGGCAACTCTGCATCACCTTCCCAAGGGGGAAATTAGCAGTAAATGCTGGCCCAGCCAGTGACACCCACATCCCATGAGTGAATGAAGAAGGGTAAGGAAAGCATCTATTCACATTTTGATTGGCTGTGTGAAAAGATGCACCTGGAGGATGAGCCAATGGCAGAAGGAAAGTGGCCGGAACATTCTGGTTGAGGCCACGTGATGGCACGTCTAGTCGTTGGTAACTGCCCCTCCCTCAGATGACAGAAGCTGGCGGCATCTTATCAATGGGAAGTGGAGTCAGTGTGTCTCAAATTACCACAGCATAATGATTACACTTCCAGATTAGCTCAGTCATAGACTACTAATCCAGAAAATATGACCTCAAATTACTCCAGTGCAGCCTCAGAACAAAAAATTAGCTTGATAAAAGTCTTCTGTCAGGAAACATGGCTCTGAAGCCATCAGAGTCCTGTAAAAATTCTCTGCTTGTTCATGTGTATCTGGTAGGAAAGGGGTTCTAGGTCTATTTATGAATCCAGTCCCTCACCAGTCTGACCCTTTAAGTTAACTGGGTCAAGGAAGACAGTTTGTTGCAATGGACATTAACATACAACAGTTCAAGAAACCAGATTGTCACCAGGTCCTCAGAGGATTGGGAAAGAAACCTCAGCCTGTCTCACAACACTCACGTCGTTAGAATG